GGTTATCGTATACCTTGGCTCCCACGCAAAAAGGCCGAAGTTTGATACCTTGCTGCGGATGCGCCTTTTTGTTGTTTCTGAAAATGCCGCGTTCTGGTAAATTCGAGAACCCTGTTGCTCGTTCGAGGTCCGAATGGTCTACACGCCGAACCTTCTACGCCGATTGTTCCAGAAGCCCACGACATAAGGGGCTCCGCGTGGCGAGCCGCGCAGTCAGTCTCGCCACAGCGCTCGATGCTGCTGTTACGCCGCCATCGACGCCTGCGACGTTAACCTTATCTTAAAGGGATACTTCAACGAAATTTGAAATATTCCCGTCGTGCTCAAAAATAGGTTGAATATCAAAGTCAAAAGTCAAAAGTCTTTATTTTCTCTCCGTTTGGAGAGGGGAGGCAGAGAAAAAAGCAACTCAGTGTTGCTTGACGAGCCTCTGCCCCCCTCCCGAAGGAACCCGAGGTCTTTCGGGAGGACCTCAAGTTCCTTTGGGAGGACCTCGGGTTCCTTCGGCAGGACCTCGGGTTCCTTCGGGAGGACCTCGGAGGACCTCGGGTTCCTTCGGGAGGAGGAGGACCTCGGGTACCTTCGGTGACCCCGGGGAGGGGGGTCACGTGACACCTCCCCCAGGTCACGTGACCCCTCCCCCAAGTCACGTGACTCCCCCAGGTCACATGACCCCTCCCCCGAGCACACGTGACATCAGTACCCTCTCTCCTCCTCCTCCTCAAGAGCTGCGCTCTGATTCGGCGTTACAGGGAGTTGTAAACGGCTTTCATATTTTTGTTTCGGGCACAAGTTCGCCTTATTAATTGTTTAGTTTGTCCAGTTATTCGCCGCATCATCGTTTGTCATTCGTGACAATATGTTATCGCAACAAACGTTCGCGACAATCGGTGACTTTGATAGTGTTGAACGCAAGTTCTGAATCGGAAGATACATGATGCACTGTATGGATACATGTTGCACTGTATGAGTGTAACGTCTAGAGCAAAGGCGGGTTTATCCCAGCTATCAATGCTGGCAGAGTGGTCTAATTAACACGCTATGCGCGCTTCAGCGACATCCTCGCTACCGCAAACAGACATGTACCTCTCCGGTGTGATATTTCTGGTTAACTTAACCCTACTCGCTTTTCCAATTTGTTTGCGGAAGTGTAAGCAATCAAAGTACGCTCCTTTTAAAGTTTGTACTAAAATCTACTAGACAAGCCGAAATGTTTCGAATTTAATCAAAAGCTCATTTCACCTTTGGCGGACCGTCATTATATATAGGTCTCGAGCACGTCTCGGTAATCAAGGATCACGCTGCTTATTAAGGTAGGCTGGGGCCGTTGTAAACGAATGACTTTACGGCAAAGATTTTGCTTCGAAAACATACCCTAAAGTCACATGGGAAGCTCTTGAGCTCATTCCCATGGATCCAAGCACTGTTTATGCATGGTCTCCCTGTGCGAAGCATCAACAATATTCTGTTTGAAGGCCTATAAAAGCTACGAGTGGATGATGATAGTCCCAATTTATCATTTTAGACATTTAATAAAATGTTGTACGACTTTAAGCACGAAATGATACCTTCTAAGACTTATATAATCTACTAAAACTAGCAAAAAAAGAAAAACACAGGCATTTGTTTTGTGCGTTTGTTCGTTTTTTTCTTCTAAAATATTTTTTTCTAGTTTTTGGTGGAGTTTTGGAAGTAGGCCAATCGCAGCGCGACTGCTGCCATAAAAAAAAAAAAAATAAAGCGTAGCACAGCTATCGTTGTCTTTTGCTTGAGCTGAAACAGTTCCCGCTTTTTTTTTTTGGTATTTTTTTTGTCTCTTTGTCATCAATCGTCAGCCACGCTACACGCGGAATTTTCATCTCCTCACGACGACGAAACCGTGCCCGAAGGTCGTGGACGTCGGTACAACGAGCTCATTTATCGAGACCGACAGGAGTGGAATTTGCATTTACGATGAGCGAGTCTCCGAGTCGGAAACTTCCGCTCCTGGACGTGGGCTGCGGTGCTGCAAGCAGCAGCCCGTTGGCCACCGACTCCAAGCACAGGCCGGGAGGGACGAAGTACGTATCAGGGTGTGTTCCGAGAAGGGCAGTCACAGGGGTGATATGCCTATTTTTTTTTTTTTTTTTCAATGGATTTTTTTTTTTTGAAATAGCAGAAAAAAGAGTACAAAAATACTTACCTGTTATCGTAAAAAAAAGAAGAAAAAAAAGAAAATCGCGCACGAGAAAAGGTGGAAATGTTTTTCCCAATTGCGCGCAGACAGAACTTTGAGGGCCACAGGAATCAGAAAAAAATTATACGAAATATATATTTTTATTTATAAAGCACGCCAGCTGATCTACCTGAAGCAGGTACATTTAGTTTATATACGTTTATATTTCAAGTGACACGAAATGACAAACTTGGCCTCGTGCTCAACTCTTTTATATTTAGGCATATTTCGGAGACTTTTTAACACATCTTGGAATAAGTTTTTAGGCTGAAAACCTTTGTGCAGAGTATTTCGTGCTTTGTTTACTTTTGAAGAAAAAGTTAGCGCTAAGCTATTGTGTTTCTTGCATTTCGCCCGGGAGTTTTCGAAAAATAAAACAAATTCTAAATTGTGCAATTTTTTTTTGGTAATTAGATAATAATCATCCTCGATTTTTCCCAAAGCTTCCTCGATGAACCCTTCGAAACTGGTAACTCAAAATCCGCGAAAACATGTTGCATTGTTTTACTTTAAACTAGAAAAATAAGCATTCTGCAAGGTCTAAGTTGCTGTCAATTAAGGCTTTCTGTCTCAACGGGCACTGGAGCACCGTATCCAGAGTGGCCGCAGTTGGTCGCATTATCTCCCAGATATCATACAGCATTATAAAAGAAAATCTGCGAGTTTCTTTTTTCTTTAGTTAGTGATGTGGCTTATATTGCCTATGAGAACTGAACTTTGCGGTGCATTCGGTCCTCTGTTGTGTTTGCTTGATAGCACGTACTGTAATGCGCCACTTTTCCAGGGTAGTATTTTAATGCGGCTAGCCCGTTGACAACATTATTCGATTCATTTCTCTAGACATCACTATACTCCATTTATAATTACGATTGATTGTTGCGGAAGTTAAGAGCTATTTCAGCCAATGTTCCGTATCAAGTGACAACGCGTCACTCTGCCCCTCTCACAGGTTAAGTGACAATCACACGACATTGGCTTGACTTGTATACGATTCGTAGCGTCGTCTGTGGTCCACGTCTATCGTAAGGCGAAACGGAGCACGTGAACGGGAGACGTTAGGAATCTTAGGCTCCAACCGATGGCGGGCGTGGCGAGAACCAAACAATAGCAAATGGCGTAAAAAAAAAAGACAAAAAAAGACGACGAAGTGCAAAGTTAAGTAGCGTCGTTGAACCAGCAACAGGGGAGAGCGTCACGCGTTCCGAGGTTGACGGGTGATTGGTCCAGCAAAGACGGAGCTTCCATCCCAAGGTCAGGTTGAGCCTGGTTCTGACATTTGCGTTTTGAATACGACTGCCCGAGTTACGACCACTTATATGGCTGCTCACGGCGAGTTCCTGCAGATTGCTATGACAACAGATGTCCGCACAACACGTCGTAGTCGATCGCACTTAAACGCAAATGTAGGAACCAGCCTTTAGAGTTGCATGCAACGTAAGAGTTACGATAAGAACCACATCATCACGGATAAAACCTGTTCACATCGTGTTTGCTCCTGATGACCCGCGAGAACATAAAAAAAAAAGAACAAAGAAAGGACTGCTTGCCATCTTTTATTAAGAATTTATTGTCATTTTGTTGATGGATCGGTAGGTTAGCATCGGTTCTGTATGAAATAAAGAAAAAGTACAATCCAAGGTCGATTTCATGAGACACTCAATGCACGGAAAGGAACACCTATCGGGATATAGCTTGCGCTTTGTTTAAAATATTGGTGCAGACCCATTACAAACTACTTATTTTTACGTTAGATACCTCGAAAGGGGACACAAACACGTGCGAAATAAGAGAGGTTGACGTCCTAGTCTGTTTAAATAAATCTTTCCCTCTTTCCCCCTCTTGCAGTTCGCGTACCGAATACTGTTTTGCCATTTGTAGCCCTCATCCACAGTGGAAAGGGCAACATCACATCGGGTAAAGCGCTCGAGCGTATTGTTGTGGGTGGCGAAAACTGCGCTCGCGTTGCTTTATACGGATGGTGTTCGCTAGGGTTCTTGATATCACGCGGAGCGTCTGAATGTGATCAAGGTGACTGCACCTGTGCCTTGCTCGTGATTCCAATATAGATATTTATTTATTTATCTACTATCACGAACGTCCCGTAGCCAATACGGCGAAGGATAGATGGTGTCGCATTTAGTGATGGTGAGAAGAAATCTTGAGTGAGACCTTTGTGTTCTGTCTAGACGTTCCTCCAGGGTCTCTCACATTGCCATACAGGTAGTGCATCTCCCGTGAAACAGAAAGCCACTGATGGATCCATTCCCACTTTCTCAGCGTAAGCATTTGGGACTGCCCACGTCGTCTCGCGCTTGCTCCTTCGCCTCAAAGACTGAACCTCGCCGGTAACAAAGCAACAACAAGCCAACCGACAAACTTGGCGGATCCCGCAACGAGTTCCACCGGAAGCAAACCAGAAGGTCAAACACGCCCGCCACCACCAACACCAACAAGAGACGATCCACATTGAGAAGAGCCAACCACACAAACAACAACGACAAAAACAAAAACGCTGACTCATGATCAAGGAAACAGTTGGGAGTACACAGACGGGGCAAGCCCTCGACGCTCTCTTCTTTCACCCCTCCGTCGCGTTCCTCTGGCAGCGCCCACGGCGGATGACGTAGACTTCGTTTCACCTTACAATGGACCGTAGCAGACGCTACCAGCAACCCCAGCCAATCAAGCACTGAGAACGCATCACGTGACTACGCGTCCGGCGCGTCGCTGCGCTTTTCCCGCCTGTCACGTGACGCTCACGCAGCATTGGATAGGCTCTGATGGTTCATATCGTCGTTCTCTGCGGCCCGTCAGTACGTGAAACGGAGTTTAGTGAGTATCCGGCACGTGATCTGCAAGCTCCGTGGCTCCGTACGTGTCTGTTGTCCGATGGCCTCAGTCAAGGTCGCGACGCGGCGGAAGACGCCCCACCCGCAGCGGTGGGCGGAGGCGCTGCTGGCGCCCCGACGAGACGCGTGGTCGTTGAACCACCGGCGCGGCGTCGTCCTCCGCGCCGACGACTGACGCCGTCGAAGTCGCCGACGCCGACACTGCGAGCAAACCGTCGCGGGCGTTGCCGAGGCTTGTATGGTGAGCGCTGCGAGTGAAGCAAATTAATATATCAGTTACGGCGAAGACTCCCCGCGCAGCGGCGTAAACTCGAACTACGGTTAGTGTCCGGAAGGGCAGTTGCGCTACTTCTCGTGCCTCTTCCGCGACTCGTGCGGATGGGTCGGTGCCAACAACGTCACAGCTAGTTGACAATCTGAAGTCGCTCTTATTTCTTTCGATAGAAGTATCGAGGGCTTACCCGCCACAAAACGGTTAAATAAAAATGTACTAAAAAAATGACTCAAGTTGTTAGAGTGAACGTCTTGGGAATCGTAAAAGGCCGACATTAGAATGTGCATCATGTAGTCGTTACATGAACCCGTGCCGCTACGACGCTCATCTAGATTCAGGCGAGCAGAAGATCCACGGGTTACCCGCAGCGCAACCTTTCTTTTCATATGCCGCGAACTGCAAAGCATATACGCATACAAAAAAAAAAAAAAGTCTTGCAAGGTTGGGTTGAGCTAGTTTAATATAATGCGACTCATTTCGTTTTGACTAGGTTCGTATTCGGGGGCATCGGTGGCCGAGTGGTCTACCGCACACCAGCTCGGAACACTTGGAGCGAAAACTCGCACTGCAGAACCGAGGGAGCATCGTACCAGCGCGCGGTCGCCGGTTGGTGCACGTTAAAAGACCCGAGGCTACAGGTTGTTCTGCACTGGTTAAATTGCTCATCACAGCTATGAGACAAGTCGCCCGTTGAGGCAGACTAATGCCCGTGCCACACGGGCAACTCGAATGCCATTTACAACGAATGACATTTGTGTGATCGGCCAATCAGCTCGCAACCTGTCGCGCGTGGAATGCGCCACGCCCGAAGTGTCGCGCGCTGACTGGCCGTCCGCTCAAATATCATTCGTTGTAAATGGCATTCGAGTTGCCCGTGTGGCACGGGTATTTGTTCTAGACTGTGTAAACATACACATAATCCAACTTTTTTTTTTTAGGCTCGTATTCGTTTTAAGCGTTGTATTAAAAAAAAAAAAAAATTGGCTTTTTGCGGAAGCTCCGCCTTCAGAGCGAGCTTTCTGCCATTGCTAACAGAAGTGTGAACGCGCAGGAACGCGCAAGCGAAGCACTGGGGAAACCAGCGAGCTCGCACTGAAGGCTTCTACCCTCAGCTTAAGGAGTATAATCTTCCCCTTCCAGTGTTCAATTAAATAAATGTACGGGCATCTTAGATTAGATTCATATTATCTATCAAGACGTACACGTTTTGAAAACCAGAAGTGTCGTTTCTTCCTTCGACAACCAAATCTTCTAAGAACTACTTCGCGCAGCGCAAGGGTGATAAGCAAAACTTTTTTTCTTCTTGATACTCAATATTGTTACATATATTCACTGATTCTAGTTTTAACCAACCTTCCGGCTATAGGCCCCAAACAAGCTACGCCTCAGAGAAACGAAACTTGGGTCATCTCTGTGCCTAACATTATTCCTGAAACCGCAGGAGCCGCCTTCTTCTCCTCCAGAAACGCTAAAACAGCCCGCGACACGCGACAAAGCAAAACGATATTGCTTGAGCTTCCGACACTGCATGCGAGCTCAGACAATCGCATTTTGTTTAAATCATACCTACTTTCAATTGCGTCCGCTGTGCACTAAGCATTAAAATGGCGGAGCCCACAAGATAGTCGGGGAATATAGTGCCAATACTTTAGAAGCAGCGGTCATAAGCAGTCACAAAAGGCTTAAAATCGTTTTTTAACCTCTACTGCCGTAAGCAGTCGTAAGTGTTTAGTGGCTATAGTTCCGGCATTCCACGGAACGAAGTCGCCGTCTGAGCTGCCAGGGCGGCAGGAGATAGGCGCGACTTTGTCCCAAGTTCAGGCACATAGGAGCCTTGTCGCGAAGGAGGTGCGCCTTTTTTGCGCTACGATTTAAACAGGTTCCTGGCCCAGGGCTCGGGCACAAGGCCTTCCCTGCCATTAATTCGCGTATGAACACGACCCCTTCTCCGAACGCTTTGGCGGAGCCGATAGCATCATGCTCGGAAGAGTAAGACAAGAATACGGAAAAGACCCTAGCTGTGAGGGCCAAGATGGCGGTAGAAAAGCAAGGAAAACCAAAGGCGCCCTGGCAGCCCCGAAGGAAGGCGGCACGTGCAAGATGTGCAAGACACAAAACAAATAACAACACTCCCCCTCCCCCCCCCCCCCCCCCCCACACACACACACACACACACAGGGCGACGGCGCTGACCAGCCTCAACGACTGATTTAGACCCATCCCGAATACGAAGAATAGGTCGCCCCCTGCAGCCCGGACCAACACCAAAGAGCTGTCTTGGAATCGCCCCTGGGTTCCACTCGGGAATCGAAGACAAGACATCCAGCCTCACTCCATCATTCGCTTCCCTCATCCCTAGGCAAGACATCTCGCTCTGCCTCAGAGTCGAGGTAGCTCATGAAAATGAATGAATAAAGTCGTTCACTCTCTCTACGTCGTCTTGAGCAAGCCGGCCCATCAGCAATTTAATAAATAAATAAATGAATATATATTATAAATAAGTAAGTAAATAAATAAATAAAATGATAGATAGATAAATATAGAAGCGAGTGATAGAGAAAGATGTACGGAGAAAGAGATTGCTTACGAAGTAATTGTTGAAATAACTTTTGTGTGATCTGGTAGCTATACACGAGCGCACTGTTTATAAAGAAGCGTCGTGAATGTCAACAATGAGCATGCACACTCTGTGATTTTGGAACGGCGAGGCTACTACACGTTCTTAGAGTGCCCGAGCTCATTATACGCTACAAATGAGCACATTGCGTATATAGCGTATGGCAGGTTAAGAAAGGCAGGAAAAAATGCCCAGCGTTCGCTCCGCTAAAGTGGAAAGAGTGGAGCGTTTGTAGAAACAGCGTGTCCTGCTTTTCTTGATCTGCATCAGACTATTAGCCACGTGTGCGACCAAAATCGTCGCTGTGATCGAAGTTCGCGATTGACCAAACACTGTAGCTCCCTGTATTATGATAATGCGTACCCAATCGGCGGGTTCACAACGAGGCAAATCCTGCCGATCACGCGAGGCAAATCCTGTTCGTGACGTCACGAAAGGAAAACACAAAAGGGCGCCACCGAAACATCTCGGCGCTAATAGTCTGCAGTCATTTTCTCCACGAGATAGAACTAGAATTGCAATCGATAACCTTCTTTCGACGATGTGCACGAGGCCGACGTGTCCGGTGACGTACGCGGCTGGAGGAGACGGGGGCGACGGCGACCGCTGCCCCGGTGACCGCGGGTATGGGTAAGGACTGCAGATCGGCGATGGCGACGTAGGCGACGGGCAGAACGACGTGTAGGCCTGCGACGTCGCCAGACACCGGGGACTTACTTGGAGCTGGCCGGCGATCAGGTTCGTGGTCGCCTGTACGAAAGAAAGCAAATTATGACCAAACGTACTTTGTATTGAATATAGCCACAGTCGCTGGCGGGATTAGAACGGCAGAAAATACACTCAGTAGCCTTGTCTGTAGCGCGAGCTTCGTGTCTTCGATAACGCTTGGGCGTCTCGTGAGCCTCGAGAGTAACGCGCAGCCTAAGAACGACGGAAGGCAAAGATCGCGTGCTGGATCGAGGCATGGCATCCCACAAAAGACGCCTTACCATCTTCATCCTCTCAGGGACCATGGTCTGTTTTCTTGTTAAATTTTTGCCCTATACATATTGGTTTACATCACTGATTGTTAGACAAGCGTTGACTTGTCTAGCTTGTCTAGCACATAAGCTAGACAAGTTTGACGACGTGTGACAAGAAACGTGTTTTTTTTTTCTCGGGCTGTGCTGGTTGTAACTCTTCCGAAAGCACAACTGTACCAGGTTTCCCGTCAAAGTAAAATACGTGTAGGTAACTAAATGAATAAGCAAACACAGAGACGTTTCTGGAGAGCTCTTTGCGTTTGTGTCTTCTTTTAGAAATCCAAAGTCTCGGTATAAAATCACAATGTTTAATCTATACTATAGCTCGCTCGCGTCCTCATTTTTCGTTCGTTCACGCGATGCCCTGTGTTTTGTTCAGCAGAATGACGGGAGAACCATCTTATCACCTAAGCCCCTACTCGATAAATAGTCAAATTCTAAAAGAAACCACGAGTCGTGCGTTCCAAGCGACGCGATACATTCATCATCTTCCACGCAACGAATGATTTCCCACGATTGTTCCAGTGACCCTGTCACTGCTGTCATTCCAAGGCCAATTCACACCTCACTGCTTTATTACGTTTGACTACGCTACGTTGTGCTGCGACTGCAAAATTCCGGGACATCCGTACTTCGTATGCGGCGTGCCTATACAAAGTACAGGCGTCCCGTTGTTTGAGATCGACCTCGCATTTCTCTACGGACGACGAACAGTCACGAGCATCGAGTGGGGTGGCGTGCGGTTCAAACTCTTTGGGCACGCTTCACCTGGGTGGCCTGGTGACAGAAGAGCGTTACTCTCCGGCCTCTGTTCAAGTGGAAACGGACGTTACCGACTGAGTAATGCATACAGGGCTGCATTCCATGGAACGCCGGACTATACACGATCCTGAGCAGATGCACAGTGTGCTGCGTTTACACATCTTCTGCGAGGGAACGAATCACCTATTTGGCACATTTAATCATAAAAAAACCAAGGACCCAGTACCAAACCTGAGAAGAAATTTGTGACGTTCAGACACAGGTCGGACACAAGGTCAAAGGCTACACGTCACAGTCCAATGTGCTTAGACTAGCATCTCCGAAAAAAAGAAATAGATGTGGGTCAAATGAACAATTTTTGAAAAACCCGTGGACAGAGTCATTCCTCTAACTGGCACGCAACAGTGCAGGTACACTACTTCACTATCGACCCCTCCCGACAATCGCCAAGGAAAACGAGCATGAGGATTACATGCGCCCTCTGAAAATCCCCTGGCTTAGATATGTAATGTGACACGTGACAGAAAATTATGAATGTTTAAGGGACGTCTCTTCATGGATGCACCTCGTCTTTGGAGGCATTGCATCAATTTTTTAAAGCGCAGCTCCTAGGCGCGCGTTTCCGGCTTGAGCGGCGTCGGCGTAACCGCGTGGTGCACGTCCTGTAATGCAAAGCGCGGGTCTCATTGGTGGACCACGCGTTGTATTATGGTACGTTTCCCATAATGACGTCACACCTGACGCCATGAGTGATGTCACAAAGGTCTCGCGCGTTGCATTATGGGAAACGTCCCATGATGCAACGCGCGGGTCTCACTCGTGTCCCACGCGTTGCATTATGGCATATTTCCCATAATGACGTCACGAGGGTCCCGCGCGTTGCATTATGGGAAACGTCCCATGATTCTACGCGCGGGTCTCACTCGTGACCCGCGCGCTGCATAGTGGGACGTTTCCCATAGTGATGTCTCCGTGACGTCACGAGGGATCCGCGCGTTGCATTATGGGAAACGTCCCATGGTGCAGCACGCCCTCCTCCTCCTTCTTCTTCTCCCTTTTCCTCGTCCTCCTCCTCCTCCTCCTCTTCCTTCCTCGTCCTCCCGTCCTCATGCGCCGTCTCGGGGGAGCACGCTCAAGACTAATGCTGAGGAAATCAAAAACGCCGAGCAGTCTTCGACAGAGCCGAGAGCAAGTAGAATGACATCGAGAGTATCACGTGCTTCGTCAAAGTGTTGACTTTAACGCTGTCTCGTTCTCCCGCCTTGATCCTGCTGTCCCGTTTCCTGGCACCGGCACAACTTAGACAGAGTGGAGCTTCCAGGTGCGGGAACTACAGTTCCTTTCTCGGACAAGCGGTGAGCGAGAATACCAGAATATATATATTTTAAAATCTTTATCAGATTGTTGACCACAGTATGTCGCCAAATCGAAATATCTGAAGAGAGGAGCAGCAGGAGGAGGAAAGGAGGAGAGGGCACGGATGAGGAGAAGCATACCCTCCCCTTAGTACCCTCCCCGCCTCCCCCTCAAGAGCTGTACTCTAATTCGGCATTACAGGAAGTTGTAAACGTCTATAATTTTTTTTTCTGAACTGTCCCCGCGTTAGCAATCTTCCCATGAAATACCTACGCGACTACTAGATAACACGCAGTTCCTGCCGTATAACTACTTTGCAGCATTCTTGCACACATTAATCGGAAAAAGAAATTTAATCGATTACAATTACAATTACCCTCGGTTAAAAAGTATTCAATTAGATTACTTGATAACTCGAGACGAAAAGGAATTGTCCGTTACTTCAAAAAGTAACCTTTACTTTTACAATTACATTCGATTTTCAAAACGACAAATTTTCCGCCGGTTTGAAAACGGGTATTTTGTATTGACCGTCATTGAATTAAAATCACCGAATTATAAGCTACCAGTGCGGGTTCTTTGCTGGTCACCTTGCGCCGTCCGGATTGCCAGGTCCGGATGGGGTGACGAACTTCGTTGTGGGAAGTTGCGTGGGCCTTTGCGGAAACGAAGTAGCTTCCCTTGGCCGTCAACGACTAATTCAGTTGAACTTTCAGTTTTTTTTTATTGAAAATTCAGTTAAATTTTCAATAACCAATTTAAAAGTTTTGTAGCGAATGAAAATAGATAAACGAAACAATACTGCAAAAGGGTAACTTCCTCTGTACGGGGTTGGGAAGGAGGTGCTCGGGTGTTAGCTTATCCAAGCTCGACAGTTGGCTGGCTCGTAGGATAACGTCTCGATTACGAGGAGAAAGGTCGCTCGGACCCCAAGATCTGACTCGATTCCGGAGTGCCAGCTGTCGAACTCCAGCACAAACTGAACTCCCTTGATGCGTTTTCACTCAAAATCACTAGTTGATCCATTCCCTTTTAGTGGACCGGCAAATCCTCGACGGGTCGTCAGACAGGTGTTTCCCACAGGCCGAGAGACCACAACCAATCGGCTCCCTTTTTCACCTTGGGGCAATCGCCTACGTCCCCGCGTGAGACCCCGCGGTCTGCGTATATCTCACGGCTAAAGGTCACGCGATTTCGGCTGCAAGCAAACTATTTCTAGAACTCGCAAGGCGAATCAGACAGCCGACCCTGTGTGGATAGCGCCAACTAAGCCATCTCGTCACTCATACTGCCAGACACGGTCTGGCGTTGCCGTTCTATCGTACCCCCTAACACGCGGGCGAGAAAGATTACACCTATATAAACGGTGCCAGCCAGAGCCATCGCGTTCTCCCGGCCCGAAACGCACGCTCCAATTCTCTCGGCAGAAAACGCGCGTTCCGAACCTCGCGTCGTAAAGTACGCCGGTCTCTCGAGGTCGTACACCACGGGAAGTGTTTAGGCCACCGCATTCCTAGCAGCCAAGTCCCTCTGGTGCTAACGACCCACCCGCGGAGCCCTCATCGATCCTTACACTACCTATCTTCTTTGTTGGGACTGACAGCGCCGATAAGTCTGAAAGTTTATCATTTGATTTGTATGGGGAGACGTGCTAGTGTTCTTTTGTGGTGAAGGCTTTCGGTGGTATGGTTCAACCGAAATGGTACTCAAATGATTGTATTGTGGTGATTGTTTTTGATCTTCGGTTCTTTAATTTTGTTGTTTTATTGCTGTACCCTGCTGAAGCAGCCCGAAAGGGCTCTCAGTATTGTAAATAAATAAACTCAATAAACTTACCAATTTCGGTAAACCATTTTCCTAAAAAAAATTCAATTCGAGGATTTTTTTTTTTTTTTTTTTTGTGGCAAGCTTGTAGAAGCAAAGGGCGACACAAGAAAGGGGAGAGAAAAACAGTAACGGTTACACGTAATTTTAGTGCGTCCAAAAGTAATCAAACTACTTTTTGCGATTGCTATCTAATAAAAGTGACGAAACGGTTAGAAAATCACTCAAAAATGTAATCAACTACACGTAATTTGATAACTTGCAATGAGTATCGTACAAGTTTGCTTCGCAGCCCGCGCATAGAGAGGGGAGTGTCAGCGCACCGTAACCTCACCCCCTCCCCGATCCAGCGTGGCGCTACACCATTGGTCGAGCGCGCTATGACGTCAAACCATGGGAAAGAGAGAGAGAAGAGGGTCAGCCAGAAAAGAGCGTCGAATCACAGAAGAGATTGTCAGAAACCGACATGCACTACATTGATCGACACTTTTTCCTTGGCCTCGCTCGCTACGGCCTACGCGACCATCGAAACTATCGCTTAAAAAGAACGCAGTAAAGGTGACCATCCGAAGCAATACTCTCTTTCTAAAAAACGCAGACCAACGCGCAACTGCGTGATCGAGAGATAAACTTGTTACGCGAACGCAGCCCCGACGCCAACGTCTGGACCAGTTTCTTCTCGGCGAAGAAAATACTCTCTCACGAAACGTCCGGCTAATAATGTCTCCATTGTTATTCAACTTTCTCTTAACGACTTTAATAAATCGAAGAAAAATATTTTCGAGTACAATTCACATAATCATAGCCCGAGAGGCACGGTTGCGCGGTGGGTCCATGGCATCTCATTTTACCTCCACAAATATTCAACTTACAGCGATCAATAAAAAAAAAAAAAAAAAAAAAAGACAGAAATAATTAAGGAAGCAAAAAAAAAAAAAAAAAGCGCGAACATAATATGCCACACTGTGATTGGCTAAGCCGGCAGTGACTATATACGTGTAGAGAACCCGAAGAAGACGAGGAGATGAGAGCGTGCGGCAACGTCAGAGCGCCGCGAGCTCTGGTTGGATAGTATAGTGGGTAGACGCAAAGGCTAAACTGCCTTTGTCTCTGCCCAAGGCCTCCCTCCAATCAGAGCGAACAAGAGCGCTCGCTTTTGATCAGAGCTCAACGCCCCGACGTCTGCGCGCGTTTTCGTCTCATCATCTTGTTCAGTATCTCTCCGTATACAGTCCCTCGACGTCTCACCTGCGACAGTCCCGTGGCCAGATGCCTGGCGAATGCGACGGCGTTCATGGGCCTGCCCGCGCGCAGCGTCTCGCTCAGGGCCGCGATGTAGTTGCGGGCCAGTCGGAGGGTCTCGATCTTGGACAGCCGATGGTGGCTGCCGCCCCCGAGCCGGGCCTCGGCGACTCCGTTGCCCGGGACGGCCGCGCAGGCCACGGGCACGTGGCGTCGCAGGGTCTCCAGGGCGGCGTTGAGGCCGTGCATCCGCTGGCGCTCGCGGGCGTTGGCCTTGTGCCGGCGCTGCCGGAACTTGGCCAGACGGGGACCGCACGACGAGTCGCAGGGGTCCGCGCTGCCGCTGCTGCTGCTGTCGCCGCCGTTGGGGCTGGACAGGAGGCCTGGGGAGACCTTCATCGAGCTGAGTTTGTTTCTCGGTCTGCCCTGTGCGCAGTAGTGAAGCTCTGGAATAAAGTTTCCTTTAAAAAAAAAATAAAATAAAATTGGGGTCTTGAGTGTAAAGCCAACGGAGGGCATCAGGCACGCCCCAGTGGAGGACTGAGGATTCCTTTATAATACCTGAAGATTTTACGTGCAACAGCAACCTCGGTTACATGGCGCCTTCTCAGGAATAAGCCACCGTCAGGTTGTGGGCATCTCGGCCGGAACTCGAATCGGAGCCACCGAGGCGGCTTTCAGCGACGTCGGCGATGGTAGATACATTTTGCGCGGTATGCGAACGGTAGACAAACAGGCTGAGGAATACTTAATCTATGACCACAATGGAACTAACAGCGCGAATTAAGGCCCATGGGACTAATATGCTGAGAAAAATTACGAATTTTGCCCGGTGGCTTTTTCTCTGCACGTGGCATGAGCACAGTGGCTGCTGCGTCGCGCGCCAAACCAGCGTGCCGTCGGGCGAAGTTCGTCAGTTATTCGTCGTATAATTCGCTCCATGGAGTTTAGGCCTTAGAATCATTAAAGAATCGGCGAAAGGCTTTAGGTTCGTCAAGTTTAAGCAAAATACACGCAGAAACATTGCAACATAAAAAAAAAGAAAAAAAAAAAGACGGTGAGTGAGTGTGTCTTGTTACCGCTAAAAACATCATAAAAACATATCGAAATATAAGATTATCCGAAACTCTAATAAAACAAAACAGTTGTGAATGGATGCTTCCACGCCGACATCCACAGGATGTTGCCGTAATAAGCTGGTCGCACCTCTATTTAAGAGATGTTTTCGCTCGAGTAAAACAAAACACAAAAAATGAAGTACGTTGTATAAGAATCCAGAGTAAGACAAGGAAGTAAGAAGAGGAATGAACAAACGAGAGTTACATTTCGCGGAAGTATTCTTCACGTTTGCCAGTTCGAGCATGCTCGTCGACAGTTTCGCTGAAAAAGCCGATACCATTAAAATGCTTAAAAAATCCTGCAGCATACAATAGCCCACCTCTGCCTATTCGTCAACTTAAAAAAACAATGGAATTGCGTGCACCGTGCGCACGAACTGTGAATAATGGCACCCGTCAGATGCAGTGTATTGTAAACGTCTTTAGAACTTTTCAGAAGAGGGCCTCTGACCACTACCGTTGCGTATGTCGATGCACCTGCAGCCTCCTATGTTCGCTCGCTAAAGCGAACACTGCGAACACTTATCTCGCTCCTGGAAGGCTCTGATTCGGCGAAAGCGAATTTGTCAATATGGTGGTCCAATCTCGTAGCACTTAACAACAACCACGTCAACGAGACAGCAGGAAACCATATCTTGCTACTTAAGGCCTCGAAAAATGGGTAACAATGGTTATTCAAACTTCATAATTGGCTGTGGAAAGATATAAAACTAAATAGTGTCATCGATTTTTCTTTTGTTTTTCGAGAAAGGCGTTAAAACGATCAATCTATGCTTTCGCGAGCCCGTACTTAGACGTTAAGAAACCCGGAGCGTCTGCCATATCCCAAAGCAACTGGCACAACCAATCGCTGCAAACTACGGAGAGTGCTCGGCAAGAAACGAGTCGGAAAATATGCTTAAATTCACTCCCACAAAAAAAGAAAATGCGTTGTGGCACTGAGCAAGATGGTTCGCCATGCTCAGCGCTACAGCGCATACTCCTTTTCTAGGTCTTGCTTCGTGACTTGTCAAGTTTCCTCAAACGATTGCAACTATTGCCTGTCTCCATCTCTTCTGCTGCTTGGCGGGAAAATCGAGGCTCTGGATTTCTTAAAGCTTATAGACCTTCGCAAAAGTCGCCTTCTGGGCGCTGCCATCTTTGTCTGCTGGGCTGTGGCGCGCCCTCTGAGCATGTGCTGCTGTTCTGCTGCGCGGTATATCAGACGCTTCGCATGCGTCCACGGCTGAGTGACTCATCCTTTTTCTCCCGGGTGATAAGCGATGCAAAGGTCTATAATGCGTTTCACACTAAGTTCGAGCGGAGTCAATGCTACGATTCAAAGGCGCAAATCAAAGCAGCGACAAAAAATGCCTCGTCACGTCACTCGTCGTCTTTATGCGTTTGCAACCGTCGGCTAAACCAATCACACGCAAAAAGAAGGAAACAATACGCGGGATCACAAACCATTTACTGTGCATGATTGGTTTATCTGGTGATATAGCAAAACGCACAAAGTTGACAAATGCCGCCGCGGCGATGCATTTTTTCCGCCGCTTCGATTGGCTCGGTCGAATCATAGCGTCAACTGCGATCGGACTTGGCGCGAAACGAAGCGTACGGCCATCCCTCTGACACAGTACACGGGGTTACACTCACCCAGCGGTAGATTCGGCTTTCCCCAATTGCAAAATCAGCGGGAGGAGCGCCGATGCCGATGCTCAGAGTCGAAGCCACCACAAGACCGTCTAAGCTCCCGTGAGAGTCGGCTACACCCGCAAAAACAGGCGAGCCACACGCAGCTTATCGCGAACCGGATACCTCCGCCATGGTAACCATCACCCTTCTCCCTCATTTTCCCGACGGCGGTTACACGCACGTCCCACCAGCTCCCGTCGCCCGCGAATCTCGAAACAAAACAGCACCCTGTTGCCTCCTCGCATCCTCCAATGGGATAGGCGCATTCTTTTCCGAAGATAATGTACATAAATAAATATATAAAGGCAAGTTAGCGCGTAAAGAAAGTAATTACCGAGTCCCTAGCCCTCGGGAGGCCGACCGATACCTGGCATATGTACACCCAAAGTTTCGCGCTTTACCGCTGTTCTGATGGGGCTCAAACTCGGGCCTTCTTTTGCAGGCTGTCTTCTTCTTCTTATTAATATTATTCTACGCGGAGGGTTTATTTATCTTTACTTCTCTCCGGGAGAAAAAACAGAACAAAAAAGCGGCGCAATATGAAGCGGGAGAAAAGGGGGGGGGGGGGGGGGTCTGTTTACCTTCCCGCGTTTCGAATACACACCGGTTGGAGCCTCATCCTGTTGCTGTTTTCACATGCTTGGAAAAGAGGTCTAAGGGGAGGGGGGGGGGGGGGGGGGGGCGATGGAGTGATCTCTGTAGAGTTTAATGGGCCAGGATTGGTAATTGGAGGCGATGCACCGTAATAGCCGAGCGCTCCTGCGCGCTTTATCTGCAGGCGGCTCGTGTTAGGGTTGCGCGAAGCTCGTGGCAGCAGCGTTGCACGCTCTGCTGGGATCGATGTAGGTATAAAGTTCCGCGGCCGGCCCTCGGAAACCGTCCATCTCTCCGAGGCTGCGCAAGCCCTTTCTCGCGCGCGCGCGAGGTGTGTTGTGCGGAGCATCAGCTAGGATTAATCTCCGACAGAGCCTTTCTTTTTGCCAGTGCCGTCTTGCCCGAATAAAGATGTTCTGGGCTATGCAAATGTACGGTAGATCTGTAGCTTCTGTGTAATTTTTGAACATTTTGCGCGCTTTTTTTTGTTCGTGTTTTGATTGTGGGAGGGTTTCTAAGGCTCGATAGATTAATAAAACGTTTTAACGGACCATGGTTCTCGGCAGAACGATAGTTGTATCGGGAGCTCGCAATGCGTTTCAAACCTGCGAAAAAGGTATGTTCAGGCTTCCTAATAAAGAGTCTTCTCAAGGTGCCACCACAGGCTTCCGCGGCAACGGCAAGCGTGTTTTGAAGTGGCAGCACAAGCTCCCTGTAGCAATATCGCTCTGGGCGGTCGCCTTCAGTTAGCTAAACTAAAACTCTCTATTACGTCGTTGTTCTTTCCAATTATTACAACGTCGTTCTGTTAGACCGACACTTCCTATACGTCTTATCCTCCGTCGCATCGTAAACTTGGCAAAGGACGAACGCCATGGCCCGAGCGAGCCAATAGGAGCGACGCATATCAACGAAAAAAGTACCCTCTGGCAACAGGTTGTCAGGTGCTTTACTCCTACGCCCTGATTGGCTCACCGGGGTCGTAGCGTTTGCTGTTTGCCAAGTTGTGTGTTTGACACGGAGCGCAACAAACTTCTATTTTAAGCTTGGGGGCTGCCAACTGGCCCCTAAAAGAACAAGTTTTTGAGCACGGAATTTCGTGGCCTGTGGGTGGGAAGTCGGTTACCTTCAAGATGTGATAATTAAAATGGAACACAAAGAATATTCGACTATAATACTCAGAAAATAAACGCCCTCCTTGTTCGAGAATTATTTTTTTCTGATTTCCATTTTACTACAACTTAAAACCCTTGTTGCGTTTAAATATTTCAGTATTTTCCTTTAATTTCTTCTTTTGTCCTGTTCCGCATTTCGCGGGTCCGGGAATTAATCTAGTACCTTCTAGTGACACCACTAATGCAGCGTTTGGCAGTGGCTCGAACTCAGTCAGCGAGAAACCAAATCTCAGCCGAATACAGGCGCAGCAATATTGTCTAATCTGTGCCCCACGCTGGCCTCTTGTAGATGACGTGTGCCATCTAGTGCTACGGCCTTGCCATCTTGGAGCTGTTGCTTAATTCCCACAAAACGAGTACAAGTTTTTCTTCCTTTAACGGACAGGAAGGAGATGGACACCGAGCGCGGGTTTTCGTCCCGTACATGATACCCGGGCCTTCTCACGCCTAGTTTCTATCGCTCTGTTTTCCTTCTTTCTGCAGAAACAGAGAGGGCGCGCAGTGGGTGTGCTAATTCGCCGTGTTTACTAAAAAGAAACCCTCGACATCTTTTTCTCACCGGGAGACACTACACAACCGAGCGTCCAAAAGCTCCGAAACGGAAAGCGTGCTTCCCCTCAAGCTTTGTCATGTAGCGGAGAAGCACCTCCAAAAATCACGGAAGAAACTAAAACGCGTCAAAACGTCTCGTCTTGCGTCTCGGCAAAGGTCACTGTGGTCCGGCACTGGGTTCATGGTGTAATCTAGACGATGAGCGTGTGCCTTAAAAAGGCACTAATTTAATAACCTATCACCTAATCAATGATTTGTTTTTCGGTACGAGCTTCTTTTCGGAG